CGGGTGCGCAGGGCTGTCGAGCCGGCGCGGGGGCAGCGACCGCAGCTGCCTCAACGCGCGGAAAAAGTTGGCGGCGACCTCGTTGGGCGAAAGGCGGCTGTCGCTGCGGCGCGACAGGGGCGAGGAGGCTAGCCAGAGCGCAACAGCGGGGCTCTTATTGAGGTTACCCTGGCGGAGGAAGTCTTCTTCCCCCGTGCGGAGCAAGGCCGGCTCAGCCTGCGGCTGCAGCGGCTTCAGCGGCTGCAGGGGCTTCAGCGGCTGCAGGGGCTGCAGGGGCCGCAGGGGCTGCAGGGGCCCCAGGGGCTGCAGGGGTTGCAGCGGCGGCTGGAAGAAATCCCGGGGTTGGGGGAGTTGTGGAGCCCGCCGGGCGCCCGGGACAGGCCCCCGCATGAGGAGGGCCCTGCATGGCGGGCAGGGCAGGAGAGCCACGAGCAGGACGCCCGCGGACATGAGCAGCGGCAGTCTCATGTTAGGGGCGCTAAGAGAAGGAAAGAGAGAAAGAGTTGGTCAGAGGTTAGCTCAACTAGGGGGTGCGCTTGGGGGAGTGTGTTTGTGGGGGATCTTCCCGCCGGGCAGCTTGGACGTGGCTTGGGGCTCGGGCGGGCGCTGTCCGCAGTGCTGAAGCTCCAGAACTGGGACTGACGGAGCAGGAAAACGGACGCCTGCGGGGCTCCGCGCCGGAGCTCAGCCCCTCGCCAGGCTGGAGTGACCCTTCTCCTTCCAAGACCCCCCCTCCCGAAGGGACTGGTTCTGAATCCCCTTTCCAGGGATTCCTGAAACTCATCTCTCGAGCTCTAGAGAGGATCTACAAATTTAAGGTCTCAGCCGCTCTTACTCCCACCCCTTTTCGGATGTTTCAGCGTTTTCCTCCGAATTAAGAACGGCTGCACGGTCCTCCTCCGTACCCACCCCCGCTCCAGCGTCCTCCTTTCAGGGATCGGGGTCGATGGGGTGCTCGTCTGCACAGCCAGCGAGGAGTAACTGGCCGGCCGGGTAACAATGAGTAGCCGTCTAAGTTTGCTTTTGCCCCATCCCAGCTACTACGGGATCTTGAGGCACAGTAAACGCGCGCGAGCGCACGCACACACACACACACACACACACGCGCACACACACACGCGCACACACACGCGCACACACACACGCGCACACAGGCGCGCGCAAGGGAAGGCACGGCGGCGGCTCGGGCGGCGCGAAGTTGGAGGCCGGTCCGTCTAGGCGCTCCCTACCTTCTGGGGCGCTCCCGGCTGCAGATTAAGGTCTCCGGGGCTTTACCAGGCGTTTTCTTTCCTTCTCCTTTCTGCTTCCACTATGGGTTTCCCCACCCCCTTCTCTTTCTCTTCAGTCTTTCAACGGACTGGGCTCCGAGTTTCTCCACACCAGAGCCTGGAGTGGGATTTTATAGCGTCGACCCTCTTCAGAAACCACGCAGCATTTGCCTAATGAGCTGACGCTCTCTTGACAGCTCGATTGCGTGCTGTCTCTGTTCCTGCATAAATCATAGGGCCCTGCCAGTGAACCAGGGGCAGAAATTTTGCTATCTCAACACCGAATCTCACATCCAATTATATCAACAGATATTTATTGCCTCTCTGGTGACGTCAACCAGCCCTAAAATGGAAGGGCTTCTTATGACTTGTCCATTGACAAAAATTCTTGAATGAGATTTCCCAAGTGTGAAAACATATTGGCCTCTTACTAGGAAAGACCAACTTAAGGATCAGAAAAAGAGATGGCGAATGGTAGGGGAGAGGAAGGGGAAGTTCAAGGGAAGGGAGGTCTACCATGGTGCAGGCCTGCCAGGAAAGCCGAAACCAGTTTTAGCGGCTGGTTCTGGACCCTCTTCTCCCCTTGCCCTCCTAACTACTCTGACCAGTTGTCCTGCACAGACCTCGGAATCTGAAAATATGCCTTTGCTAAGAGAAAATGCCCCACGGCCTTGCTGCCTGGGTAAGAATGAAGAACAGGGGGATGGGAGTGCAGGGGCATTCATCTTATAAGCCTCTCTTTTTTTCTTCCCCAAGAACAGGCAACAGAATTATGAGTCTGCAGAGGCAAGACCAATAAGTCTCATAAAATGCAGCTCAAGTTTTTTAAATGATGGCAAGAGCTACTCCCATGATGAAGGGGCACAAACCAGGGTCTGCCTGGGGTGCAGCAAAGATTTTAAGTTCTTCCAGAACCATGTTGCTCCTCCTTTGTCTCTTCTCTCACAATCTGAAAGTAACTGTGGGCTTTTTTTATTCCCAAATTAGAGAAAGGACCGGTGAGAGGTGCATGAGTTAAACAATCTTTATTTAGTTTACTCAGTGCAAACCCCATGAGAAGAGCACCCATTAGCTTTCTTTTCTATACTGGAAAAGGTTTTAGCTGCTTGATAACAGAGCATGTTTGCATTGATGCAAAGTGAGCCTGTAAAAAGGTTTTACTTCCAAATGCTATTAACATCCATGATAGTATCCATGTCAGGGACACCCAGTTTTTTTATTATTATTATTGTTATTATTATTATTATTATTAACCATTTCTTTTGCTGAATTCAGATGTGCTCTGTGGGAGCCTGATAAATAAATGCTCTCTGGCACTTCCACAGAATGGAATGACTATAAAATCACACTCACATTTCAAATTAAATTGATACTATCATATAGGTGGGAGGCAGTTACCTCTAATTGTGCAATTCAAAATGCAATGCCAAGCTCCGGTATCTATGATTCAATTCAGCTTTTAGATAACCATGAAAGTTGTTTATCAGAAATTTCCTCATTTTCATTTCTGGTACCTCTGCTGCTTCCTTTGTAGCTAACATGACAAATGATGTAATGCATAGTTCGACTCCCATTTTGCTCTATACCAATCTACAACTGCTCTTAGAAATAAAAAGACGGTAAAAAGAGAAATTCTGGCAGTTTCCACAGAAGTCAGCCTTAGATGGATCATTGCACTATGGAACAGAGAAAGAAATGTGTCTCTTGGGAAAGATGTGAGTTGTTAATAGAAGATCATGATTATGAAAAATGGTTGAGATTTTAGAGGAAAGCTGTGTTTTGTGTTGGTAGGGAGCATACAGAGC